ACAGCACGAAAAAGAACTACTGTAATTTGTAATCGGCTTTCGCTATGGCAGGCATCTTGTCGTTGGTACGGGGGCATAGTCGAATCGTGATCAGTCCTAATGAGTGGGTGGTAGTCCAATTGCGTCTTTACCTTGGAAGGTTTGTAGCCAGGGGCTTACCAGACCGTCTGTATTATAACGTCGCCTTCCTGACACCGGGTCGCCTTAGGGTCTAACGGTGGCCTTTCTGGTGGACCGTTAATTGCCCCCTTACACAACTTATACCACTGCGACCGCCTCGCCATAAAAAACAACAAATCTAAAAATTCGAAAATTCCGAGCAGCGGATGATCGTTGGAGCCGAAATATGAAGCTGCCTCTACCCCGGTTGGGGCGAAGTTGAGAAGGCGAAGTCATCTTCGGTTAAGACCGCGGGGGCCTTCGAGCAGCGGAGGGTTGTCGGAGTCGTTACCAAAGCTGTATCTATCCGGACCCTATGGAAGTGAGTTCGTGTCTCGCTAAGCACATGAGTAGGGCCTGTTCATTCGGCGTCTTAGGAAGATCGAAGCCAGCTTCATCGCGGATATTGCCTGTGCGATATCGCAGGGATTATCTGGGGGTGTAGTGCGTGGCGGAACCGCCAGCACCATCACCCCTCGCCGTGGGTCTTTGAAGCTTCCAGGAGGGTACCCAGAGTAAGTATAAATGGCAGGCAACCGCTGCGAGGAAGGCGCATTCGGACCATCGCATGGCCAACAAAATTTTAGACCGCAACGGTGGTGAGTGGGCTGATCAAATAAACAATCAGAATGCTTGAACGCCCGAGTGGGGAAAAAGGTGATCAGCGATGCGGAGTCTGCGGTAGCCGCACAGAGGAAGGCAGCCGGTGGCGTGATTGCGACGCTATCGGCTACGAAGCGGCAAAGGTCGCTAGAGCAACCGCGAAAACCGCGCAAGGGGACGGAGCTTACGTTTAGCGAAATCTCTAATCTAGATAGCTCTGTGGATCTAGGGGTAATGAACCGTAGCAGGGAGGACGGCGCTATCACCCACGAAGAGTGCAAACGTGTGGCGGCTACCATCTCAGCTGTATTTGTGATCAAGGGAAACCTGCGCCGACGAACGGTCGGCGGCTCTATAAAAGGTGGTAGTCTCTTTGGTGTTGAGTTACGGAAGGATGCCAAGGTAGTGGCCGTGGATAAAGCAGTAGAGGAAGTTCTATGGCGAGGATCGAAACACTTCGGTACCGCAATCCATCCCTCTCGACGCATAACTGTAGGGTTATCTGGCTAGAGGGCACCGAGGACTCCGAGCGACCAAAAGCTGATGATACTCAGCCTGCTGAAGCCGTTGACACCGTTTTCATGGCGCTTGATAGTATTGAGGCCTCTGCCGGAGGGTCCCTCTTCAGTCTCGAGGGGCTGTTCTTTGGGATAGGAGGTGAGAGCGCAGCTATTTTGAATGGTATTAGTGGGACACTGCGGAGCAGGCCAAATTTCCGCGGCATGAAGAGTTTTTTAGACACAATAAACCGATTGGTTGACCGAGGTAAGGACTGGATACTCTAGGGAGTTCTTGGGGCTTCGATTTCATCCCTATTCGCACGGATTACTGTGCCCCCGAAATGGCGCCTAGGAGTTTCTTCTTAGTTCACTTTGGCTCAAGGGAGCATTGGGACGGGCGGAACTTCTGAAGAGGGGGAGCGGTGAACTTGTTTACGGATCGATCGAAACTGAACGGCAGGATTGGTGGTGGGGTCTTCTGTGGTGGGCTTTCAATCAGCACTAAGTTCAGACTTCCGCACCTCTGCAGTGTAGTCCGCGCGGAAGTGGCTGCTATCAAGAAGGCGGTGGATTCATACCGTGTTGCGCGATATACATACATACAAACTGTAATACATGTGTGCTATAACTTTTCACAGGACAAAAGTTTTTACCTTTTTGTGCTTTTCCTTTCATTTAATATGTACATACATACGAGCATAATTCCTTTTACTTACCCTGAATTTGTAGTTTCGAAATCATTGAAGCCATTAAACGAAAAGCGCATCAAAGTGGAAACTCAAAAAAAAAAAATAATAAAAACTTTCATTGTTTGATTTTATTCAAGCAAATCAGTAATTGCTTTGTGAATGCAACATTAAATTTATTGAACATAATGACAGCGCATTATTACAATTACACTTAAGTTTATTATCATAAATTTTTGTGTTCACATTTTTAATTATAAGCTAAAATACATATTTTACTTTGCTCGACAACACTATCAATAATAATAAGTATGTAAGTAATTACAATCAATGGCAAAAGCAAGGTTTTGATTTGTGTAAACAATAAATTTTACTTACATACATTGAAATTTGCTTTCAATCATTACTTAAACCAGTCATTTTATGCACTTATTCATGTAGAGCGAATTGTAGCAAAATTTTTTTTTTTTAATAATATATTTACTTTTGTTTTTTAAATTGTTGTGGTTTTTTAAAATAAGGGAATTCACATGGTGTCTGAGTGAGTCACATTGTCATAAAATTGTAAATTTTGTAATGGCTGAAAATGTTTTTGGTTAATGCAAAACAAGCGCAGGATATTTTTAATCATTGTAAAATTTGTGAACTTATGACAATATGACTGTTCTGTGACAAACTGTGAATGCCCTTAAATTTTTTTTTGTAGTTTTGTGAGTTTTATTACACTGTGGAACTAAGCCATTTCAGGGCCTCAACGAAATAATTGGTATATCCCTTTAACCGGCAGATGTACAGGATTTAGGCAGAAATTGTCAGATTTAGTCCGGAAGATATTGTAATTGTGTGTACAGGAACGATTTCTGACAAAATACTGTAAATCTTTGCTTCACCTCATCATAATTTTTTTTTTTTTTTTTATAGTGGTTCAAAGCGCTCACTTTTTCGGCGTAAATTTCATATGTAATATGTAAATATGTAATTGTATAAATAAATAAACTTAAAATTTAGTGAGAACTTTTGAAATAAGTATTTCAGTCGTATAACACCTGCCAATTTGGGTCTTTTTGACCCCTTTAAAAAAAAATTAGAGAAGATATTTTTAATATTTTTCATTATAAGCAAAAATTTGATTTTTATTTAAGAATCAAATGAAGTATTACAATATGTGCAGAATATGTAAGAGGTTCAAAAATGTTACTCTCAAACATTTTATTTATGAGTGTTGCCACTTCTTTAAAAAATAAACTTTTTTAATCAAAAAGTTAATTGAAATATTACACAATATAGATGTCAAATGAAAGGAATTTAAAAGCCCTTTTCCTTGAACGAAGTTTTAAAGGGCATTGCCACCTGTTTAAAAGTCAATATAATCAAAAAAATAAGTAAATAAAATATTTAGATATTACAATATTTATTGTTGTCAAATGAAGTAGGCTTAAAAAATATTTTTTCGAAAATAATTTTATAGAGAGTTGCCAGTTGATTAAAATTCCTACTCACTTTTAAGGAATAATAAAATATGGATCTCAAACTATGCTTAAGAAAAAATTATTTCGAAAACATTTAAAAGAGGGTTGTCACCTGTTCCAAAATTAAATTTAGTTTAATTATTTAATCGAAATTAATTTAAATAGGGTTGCCTCTAGCTTAAGAGTTCAATTAATTTTAATTAATAAGGCAAATGAATTATCTAATCTAATATGGATTTCAAATGAAAGATGTGAAAGAAAGCTTTGTTTTTTTAAAGCATTTCAAGAGAGGGTTGCCACCTGGTCAAAAAACAAATTCAGTTAAGAAGCTTTAAAGTTTAAAAAAGCTTTATTTGGAGAATAGTTTAAAAAATTAGAATAGTAGGTAAGTATTTGCAATCGAAATTGAATTTTGGACCAAAAATTGTAAGCTTAGAACCACAGTAAAATAAAATTGTGTAGAGGAGGAGCGAAATACTTTTTTGGCTTTAACTACCACTCAAGGTTGCTCACTTTTGGCCATTATTTCGTTGAGGCGCCAAAATATAACAACTAAATTGTTAATTGTTATTACTTCTAATTTTTATTATTTCTAATTTTTATTTTATCATAATCCATAAATTCTGTGTCATAGTTTTTTTTTTTTCTATTGAACTAAACTTTAACCCACTCTTCAACCTGCTACTTAGTATTTTAAAACTTAAGCCTGAAGTGTCAAGTCTGCACAAAGAGTTCTTCTTCAGTTCGTTTGCATGTCCACTTGAAGCGCTATGAAAAACACTAATTAAGTAAATTTTCTTTATAAATATAACAAGCAAATTTGTCACTTGTGATTTTGTCGCATTTTATTTATGTATTTAATTTTCGTTTTCATTTTCTTAAAATTCTGTTTATTTTAATTTTTGTTAATTTATTAGCGCTTAAATGGCACCTGCGCTTGCTGCTACATAAAGTTTTACGCATTCATCTCTGCATTTTGTAAATTTAATTATTTAGACTGCAATTAAGCTTATTAAAGTTTCCGTTTGATTTTGTCCGCCTTTGGTACTCGTCGTAAATACCTACTTTCAATTGCTTAGCACTTCATTTACACAGCTACTTTTACATAAGTACTTGCATACATACCTATTTATGCGCTTTGTCTGTTTGTTTTTGTCAGCGCGTATGTACCTACGCATTGGAATACTAAAACTTTCAATTAATATTTCAATACCAGCTGCAGCAGCATTTCGCTGGTAGCACTTCCACTTGCACAGCACAGCAGAGACAGACAGCGACAGCGACATCGCCATCGACAACAGCTGCAAAATTCACGCTCCTTTCTCAATAAAATTGCAGTTGTTGTCACTGAAGCTGAGTCTTTACACAACTGCTGCAGGAAGTCTGCCTCAGCAATGCTAAAATAATCGTATTGGCTGTGCAATTTTACTAAATACTATTTTCAATTATAATTAGAATTATTTTGCGATTATTATCAGCAGCGTTCACATAATCATCGCCATTAACCAGGACGATCATTAGCAGCGATTGGCCATTAATAAGAACGTTTCGTAAATTTAACTAACCAGCTAGTAGTGTGCGTGTTTTTGTTGTTGCTGCTGTTCGTATAATTCGTGTAATTACTGCTTTTGGCACCATCACTGGTGCGTTCAGCACTAATTCTTGCTGTCGCCTTCGCCGTCGTTGTCGTTGTCGTTGTCATTGCCGACAACGCCGTCGCTGCCGCATCGTCCACTCTTCGCCCATCAACACGCACACCACCAAAACGTACATCACCTATAATAGCTCTAGTTCGCCCCTTATTGCCAACAACGCCCACCAGCGCTCGCACCACAACTCTGCCCACAGCAGCAGCAGCAGCGGCAACACTGTTGACGGCCGTTGACGCCACCACTGTGGCACGTTTATCTCTGCCTCACTGTATTAACGGTGAGTGTTGTGAATTTTCACTAAAATCAACTGTATAATACATGTCATTCTCCAAATTCATCGCTAAATGCCGTTGAAACGGTCGCTCGTGCATTTGGCCGCCCAGCTGTTGCTGCTGCAGCTGCTGTTGTCGCTGATGTGACTGATGACCTCCACCGCCGCCTAAGCCGCTACCGCCACCGCAGCCTAAGCCGCCACCGCCACCGCCACCTCCACCGTTGTGCGCTGAGGGCAGGTGTCCGCGCGTCAGCGATGTCGTGGAGCCGGATGAGCGCAATGAACCGACACCATTGCCAGCACCGCTGCCGCCGCCACCGCCACCGCCCAGTCCCTTGCCGCTTAGCCAGTGTTTGTTGAGTTTGCTTTGGGATTTGTTGCGTCGCCCGAAGCCCAGAATGGGAAAGAATGTGGAAGAACGTGTTGAGAATTTACGGTATGTCTGATTAACCTTGCAGTGACAGATGGCGACCTGTATGGGGGAGACATATAGAGAGAGAAAGAGAGAGAGGGCAGGTGAGAAATATATGAAAGAAAATGGCCCCTTGGTAGTAAATTAGAAAACGAAGATAAATGAGCATGTCGAGGCGGACTGGGGGGATGAAAATTAATTAAATGCCAGGTAAATAACTCAGTTGAAATTTGCTTTAAAATTTGAAAATTTTTTAGTAAATAAAAGTAAGTAAAATTAATGCGCATGCCATTGTAAAACTATACACACCTTAGGGTAGCACTTAAAAATATCAACGTCATGCTGCGCACAGTGGTCGGAGAGGCCTTGTTTTACGGCAAAAATTAGAACGACTGCTAAGACCTTAATAAAACTGTTCTATCATAGTATTATTGTCATGTTAAATGCGAATATGACAAAAAATTTATATTTTGACAGCTGTCAAATCAACTGTCGATTTCGCAAAAAATTTTGAAAATGTAATTTGTTAGGTTTTTATACACGCTAGTCACGTATTTTATGTCAAATTAGAACCTTGGGAGCTGCCAACTGTACATTTCTCTTTAAGTAAGAAATTTCTTTTAAAAATACCACTAATTAGGTTTGCAGACACGCTACCCTTAAAATAAGAAAATTTTTCTAAAATTCCACTTAGCAGGTTTCTGGGATATATTGAATTTTCCGCTTTTAGTTTTCAAAAGCCTATTTGAAAGTTGTAATAAGCGAATTTAATAATTGTTAAGGAAGCTAGCAACACATAACGGTTGGTTGAACTAAACGAAAAAAAAATATTTACAGGTAGTAAACATGGTTTGAAATTATTGATTTGTTAATCAATTTCACAAAAATTTAAAATAATTTTGACTTTTACCAGCTATAACTCAGCGAGTTTATAAATTTATATGAAGTGGTTTAAACAAAATGTCAAATTTATAAGATTTCAAATAAATAATTTATCACCCCTAATTTTTTTTTTTAAATTTAGTAAATTTTGTGGTTGTCTATATGTATGTATGTAAAACAAAATAAAGAGGTGCCCCACACAAAATTTTGATATTGATATTTTTAAGAACCACCCTAATATACATGCTCATGCGAATGTACATAAATATGTATGTATGTAAATACAAGTGATTCCAAATCATAAATAAAAATAAGGCAAAGTATGTTTCAATTTGTAAGCGGCCACCGACTTGGGCCAACATGCCAGTCGTTGCTATTTTCCGATTACAGTAAGAATATTAGAAATGTGAAGAGAAATATTTTCTGGGCTGTCATTCCTTTTTAATAAAAAGAACGGATTTACAAGATTGCAGACTTTTCGAAAGCTTACATTCTGCCTTTGCCCTTAAGTGGTGCTTGCCCTCAAAACATAGAACCTGAAATGTTTGCATAGGTTTTCAAAAAAATAACAGCTTTCATACTCGAATATCAACTTTAATGCGGCGTCTTTATATCTCCCTGTATTTCTGCTAGAACAATCACGGATTGATCTCGCCAATAGGCTGGCCACATTGGCACAGTGCGCGGACGTAAGAGTATGAAGGATCGAAAAAACACAGCTGCATGTCCAGAAGCCCTAATTTATCTCCATCGTGCAGCGAGTTATCTTTATTAGTTATTGGATTTTGCTAATTTAAAGGAGACAAGACGTAATACGCATATTTGTTTCTCCGCTAGATGGCGCTGTGATGGCGAAACATTTAAAATTAACGAATATTAAAACATTGTAAGAAGTCAACCCCAATCTCTCGCATTTTTCTGGAATAATCGATTTTTACCCTACTGATTCGCATAAAATTAGATTTTTTCCATTCATATTTTTGCAACTCCCTGGCAACGTAGTATCTGTTTTATCTCTTGAACTTTAGATGAGAAGAAATCACTAATCATCTAAGTTAGACTTATTTTTGACCACGTCTGAAGTCGGTTTAGTCGGCCTTCTTCCGAGTCCAGGCAAAATTTCCTAAAACCACTTACAAAACAAAAAACCCAACCTAAATCTTCTAGGAAAGCAATAAAATGTGGAAAGAAGAAATCTAGAGGGCAATATTCATGCATGGTCATGCAAGCAAATTATAAATAGAAAGTATGTTGATGATGGTGCTGGTAATGATTTGCCGGAATGTGCTAAGTATCACTTAATTTTAGTTTAAATGAGCCAAAAAGACGCCAACGCACACACACAACTGCCAGTCGTAAAGAGATTTCAAGCATAAATACTTAATATCCTTAGAGTGAGAAAATAACGATGCCGATGACAGTATACATAGAATAGACTAAGTACGATTATAGTGCAGTATGTATGTATGTACTTACCACAACGGCAACAATGAATACGGCTGCCGCCAACACGCCCGCACCAAAGTAAGCATTATGCAATTCAATGGGGCTCTTTAACACAACCGATGAACCGAAAGTTTTATCATTAAAATTTCTGGCGCTCGTATCGTCGACCATAAACTCGCTGGAACTAACGACGGTCTCCACCACAAACTCATCTGGAGCAGCAACAGCAACAGCAACAGCAACAGCAACAGCAGCAGCCGCAAAGTATGCGAAAAGTAGTTGTAGGAAGTTTAAGTTGAAGCCATAGTTTTGTAAGAGAAAAAGGAGGAAGAAAATAATAATAAAAGAAAGAGTATAAGAAATTAGTGAGAAATGAAAAAAGTTAGTGAAATTACAGTGTTTTGTGTATAGTTATGTTGCTAGGCAATGAATTACTTATATTAGAATAAATGGCTTCATATGAGAAGGTATTTAAAACGCACAATTACTATATAGTATGTAAGTATGTGCGATTGCAAACCTCAGGTTTCTTAAAAAAAAAAAAATAAAAAAATCGTTTCCTTCACTCAAAAAACTCCAACCTATTTTTTACTTAAATTTTTTCTTAAATTGCATTGATATGCGTCTTGAAAAAATCGGTCGAAACTGATTTCAAATTTTTTTTTTGATTCGAAAATTATTAAAATATGCTGTGTAGCGTAAAACCCTGAAACTTTCACTACCTACCTTTCAAAAAATACTGGATTAACAGGGCAATTGTGGCAACTGTATTTCAACTCACAAAAGTCTTTCCAAACACAAAATGTATCTATGTTTTTCTTTTTAAAACATAAAAACTGGAAATTAAAAGAAAATGAAGCTAAGAAATTAAATTTTAACAAGAAAAAAATTTATAAAGTCAATATCTAAAAATTATATGAAAAAATATGATTTCTTTTAAAAACAATAAAATCTAAAGAAAAACCATTTAAAAAATATTTTAAATAAATAAGCTACTAAAAAGTAAATTAAACTAAAATAATAAAAAATAATAATTTAAAACAATAAAAGCGAAAAAATCAATAGATAATTAAATAAAAAATAAAAATGAAAAAATTTTATCAAAATGAGACAAAATTTATTATCTAAAAATTAGACGAAATTAAAAAAATTGGTTTCTATTTAAAACGCTAAAATATAAAAATTACAAAAGGGCTAATTAAAAAAAAGAGAAATACATACAATTAAATAAAAGAAAACAAAAAATTATAAAAATTAATTGAAAATAATAATAAATATTTTGCTTTTTAAACTAATGGCACATAAAATTAAAAGAAAATTTAGTTAAAAAATAAAAAAGTTTTATTAACAAAGAACATAAAACTATATGCAATTTTCGGAAGCTTAAAATACATATTTTTTTTTATATAAAAATTAAGTTAAAAAGAAAAATAGGAGTGTTAATTTCATAAAAATTACGTGAAATTGGAAAAAAATATTTTTCTTTTTAAAAGAATAAAATCTAAACCAAAAAATAAAAATAAAAGTAAAAATAAGTTTTTAAAAATTAAATTAAATTATTTTTGCTTTTTAAAGTAACAAAATCTCAAAATTCAAGGGTAACTATATTCAAACAAAGAAAAAAATGTCATATACGAGAAAAATATAAACGTTTGATTACTTTACGTGGAATCGCCCATATGCGGCATTCTTCGTCAACTTAAGCTCTCCTCTTGCCAGAATTGGTACAAAATATAAATATTAATTTTATATGTTGGGTGGCATTTTTAGAAATCCAAAATGGTGGATCCAATATGGCAGACAAAGTTTTGAAACATTATTGGACTCACTTGAAGCTCGTTACTCTGGGGTTCTTGGGTCGCTGAGGACGAATAGTTACGACTATGAATTTTTTTAAATTTCCGCCATTTTAGATCCGTCAGAGTCGTAACCAGTTTCGAGCGAATTCAATAAATTTTTAAAACGTTTTCCCCCTTCTGGTTTTCAGAAATGCCATTTGTAATTCCGACGTAAATATTTTTTCCGAATTTCAAGTTTATAACCGATTTGATCTACCTGAACCAATTTTGGAGAGAGAGAATGAACGTAACTATCAGAAATGTATTGGATCGGCCATTTTGAATTAAATATTTTTTTTTTTAATTTTGGGATTATATTCGTTTGATTAGACACTAGCAAGTGAATCCAAAGTGAATCAAAACTTTGTCCTCCATTTAAAAGTAAATCTTTTTACCGAATTTTCAAATTTATAGCTGATTTTTTTTTTACCTGTATTAATTTTGCAGAGAAGAGGCTTCATATATACCTACTGAACTTGTTATTACAAATATTTTAAGCGCTGTAGTGGTCTTGGCCGAATACTAAAATTTGCCTAATGACTAGTAGTAAATCTCTTTATGCCGTCTTTTTTTTTGGTTTAGTAGCAGTAATACATGCTCGCGCTTTCTGTCGCTCTACTAATAAGTTGTTGCTTAACTTTAGTATATAAATTTAACTCTTTCTCTTACTTTTTAAAAATTTAGCAGTTTCATATAATTAATTTGACTACTTGCATACCACTTGGCATAATGACAAGAATTATGTATGACACGTGAGTCGCATGCCAAGCGCCTACTTACATACTACATACATACATACATATGTAAGTAGCTGCTATGTAACCCACATATCAACACAGCAGCCGCACTTCCACTACTGTCAGCGTACGCCGCGTGCAGTTGAATTGCGGCTTCTCGACTACAGCCACTGATGTCATCTCTAAATTATGCTTAGTTACACCCTGGAGCGCATCAAGTAGCGCCAACACCAACTTACCTTCACACATATTTCCAGTATAGCCGGGTCGGCATGCACAGTAGAAGGAAGCGCCACTGGTCCAGCATGTGCCGCCATGCTTGCAGAGATTCTCGTTGCATTGCTGTGTGTGTGTGTGTGTAAATGAGAAAAAGTGAAAAGTAAAATTTAATTATGCCAGTAAATTTTCTAATGTGCAAAATATGCATATACTATATAGTAAGTAAAAGCGCGTTAGTGTGTATGTGTGTGTGTGTGTGTGTGCGGATAGCATATTAAAGTTCCTCATGAAGTCAGCCAGTGTGGGTGGACGTTGCCATAATGACGATTTAATGTGTGGTTAGCATGGCGCAAATGATTATAAATTTTGTTAATTATTTCAGTGGATGGAGGCTGCGGAAAAATATGAACTTAGTTTTTTGATAAATGTTTTGTGATAACTCAGGCGATAAGTGATGTTTAGTATTTATTTAATGTTGATGGAATTGCTAATAAGCGGGTTTCATAAATTTTAGCTGTATGCAGATAGGTAAAATTTAAAGTGACATTTTTCACCAGAGTAATGTTAAATGATAAAGTAAATTTTTCGCTCACGCACAAGAATACTGACTAGTTGGGTTAGCTTAGGTGAGGTGGCAGCCCTCGAAGGGGCTTACATAGAAAGTTACTGAATGTCCATTCTGTTACCACTAAAAATAAAAATATTATTTTGGAACGGTACCATAGGTAATCAAGTAAAGTTAGAAAAGCACTGGCTGCTAGTTATGAACTTCCGCAAGTAGTTGATGCAAAATCTAGAGAGTTCTTCTAGAGCAACCATGAAGTACGACACGAGGCAGTGCAGCTGAGAGGAGAGTGCTGAGATGAATACACCTCATCGTCCTCCAGACAGTTGCTGCACATCGGGTCCGCAGCCATATTAAGCCGTACCGCCTGGGTTCCTATGGGGCAGTGCTCAGCGATTATTTCTGGATTCTCAAACCATTTCGGGATTTTCGAGAGTACCTCGGGTTTTTAGGACTTTCGAAGCTATTTCGAGACTACTTAGAGGTTTCTAGAATTTTTGAGGTTCTTGGCACTATCTCGAAATTTCCCATAAATATCAATAAATATATCGTTTAAATAAATCGTGAAAAATGTCGATAAATAACTTGATAAAGACATATGTCAATAAAATATCGATAAAGATGGTGATAAAAATACGATAAAACATCGATATATATTACGATAACAATATCGATTAATATCAATATATATATATATAACAATAAAAATAACGATAAAAATATCGATAAATGAATCGATATCCATAAATTAATCAATGAAAATAACCATAAAAAATCGAAAAATATATCAAAGTCAATAAATATAACTGAAATTCCGAAATAGGTACGAAAATCCAGAAAAACTCTCGAGAATTGCGAAATAATCTCGAGAATCCTGAAATAAATTTGTAAATACTGATTTAGTCCCGAGAATCCCTAAAATCCCGAAATAGTTCGCAAACTGAGGTGTGGTGAGGCCTTTTCTTAAATTTTTCCGCTTGCGAATAGCCTGAATAAGTAAGTTATGCTATGTGAACTGAATAAATGAATTGCAAATTAGTGTCTTATGAAATTTATGTAAAAAGAAGCAGTAAAATACTGAAATTGAAGGCTGCTCTAATGCTGTTTAACTAAGTCAATGATTATCAACTTGTTTACTAAAAACTCATTAGAAATTCAAAGAGCTTGTTATGAGACTTATGTTGATGTTTAGGTATTAGTGGCCGCCTTTGTGATTGCTTTGCAAAGATTTGTAGTGAAAAATTGCATTTTCTTTTACCTCTAATTCTTCGTCAAAGTAAACAAATCTGGTGAAAAAAAAAAACAGTGATGTAAATTGATTTCAGCTGCTTGGTTCACATGCCCTATTTCATTTGAAGCAAAGAGAAAATCTTTATGTTGGAAAATAGTGAAAGTATATAAAACGTTGCGCAAAACTAATAACGCTCATACATATGTATGCCTGTGTGTATGTGTTTATGTAAATATGAACGATCGAGGAGGGCAAACAAATAGGGATGCGATATTTTAACAAGTTTTGACTATTTTTTACAAGCTTTTATTTAACTTCACTTGCAAGTATGTTTAGCCTAGGATCTTGAAACTTAAAGCTAAGCTCATAACCCGATGAAAATATGTCTGAGAAGTTGGCATACGGTATGACGCAAAACGAAAAAAAAAGTTGTTCTGAG